AGTCGACGTCGCCCTAAATAGGTCATTATGGATCCGCCCGATCCACTCGAGAACCGGTCACCGTCCTCGTCGAACCCGTCGCTTGCGACGAAGGGCTCGACGAGCGAATTAACCCACCTGCCTTCTGAGCTTCTCGCCGGATCTTCTCAGGGGGTCGCGTTTCCGATCCGGTGGTAGATACTGCGAAGCACTGCTCTTGCTAGGGCCAGTGTTAGCAACACTCCGGTTTGAGCCCCGTGAGCTCACCTACATGTTAGGGCGAAGCTAAAATAGCCTCTCAAGGCTAACAGTTTAGGTAGGAAAAAAAATGCCTGCGGGACTCAAACATCGGCACAATCGCATCGCTTGATAATATTATTACACCGAGCGTCTTATCCTTTAGGCTTTTGCACGCCGACCTGTTAGAAACACGCTGTTCTATAAAATAACTATCAACAACTTTGTAAACCGTGTTTTAGCTAATAAAGTTTGATTTGATTTGATTTGAGAGAGAGAGAGAGAATACACCTTAAGGCACACCAAAACGCAATTAACATTAAAAAACAGTCATGATACATTAAAACAATAGGCGGTCTTATCGCTATAAGACCGAAATTCTGGAAAGGTAAATATTTAGTTATTTCGAAATATTTATTTCGAATTTAAGTTTTTTTTTTGTCGAATTTTCGCGTTTTACCTAAAAGTCCGCCCTTCGAACCGAAACGCACGGTTGTTTCGCGGCAGAAATAGCCAAGCACCTTACGATACAGGCGTAGCCTTACGATACATTCCACCACCAATAAAACGATCTAGCCCTGACAACAGAACCCGGGACGTTATTCAGTCAGTCAAGTTCTTTGTTAGGATTTCAAGTTCTTTGATAGTATCCGTGGCAGGCATGACTGAGAAATATACTTGAACACTTTAAGCCTGTTGAACGCGCAATGTTTTTGTGAATTTTTCTATTGCCCTTGTTGAGCACACGACCCATCTGATGGTGAGTGATTACCGTCGCTCATGGACGTCAGCAATGCCAGGGGCAGAACTGAGCCGCTTCCTATCGTTTAATACTCCCCACAAGCCTCGTTTGAAGAAGGACACGTCATAGCGCTGGGAAACACCGCGGAGAAGAGCTAAATCCAAAGCCGGATGGTACACACCAAAAAAGATCTCTGGAAACGCACTGTGGATGAATGCAGTGGATCTAAGTAGTATGGACGAACTCTACTCCGGTGGCGGGCGGTGCGATGGTAAAAACGAGATGATGGAATCATCTCAAGCAATTCCTCAGAGCAGTCCCCATTGAACATACAATATAAAATACAGAGAGAACCGAAGTCCCTTCTTCGCAGACCTAGAGGTTCCAAGCGATCCGTAAGAATGGGATTCTCGACAATGCTTCGAGAACTCACTATGATTGTCCGTTATTTACAATTCCGAAGTTGTTGTGTCTTTAACAACAGAACCATTCGCTTGTACTTTGGTCTCTAATCAGCAAATATTCATGACATCTCGTCTTTTTAAAAAAAAACCGGTCGCAGTAAAACGTGTTTGGCCGCGTAGTCTTGAGAAATTTTTCGTTAAAACGACTTAAAACATCTAACTGCTACACTAATGAAACTGAATTTGTTTAATAATACAAGATCATAATTTATTAACGGTTCGATAGTAGCTTGGCCGGCGTTTAGACCACGACAGAGTAATACGTACATATGAAGTTAGTCTGGATCAAAATCACTAGCAGATTAAAATTTTTGAGAAGCAACTCTGTAAACACACGTGTGCTGACAATTTCACCATTAAATAGCGAGTTTCGGATATGAGCGTTGAAAACAAATAATTTTGAAACTTGTTGTATAGTGTATTTTAATAATAACGTAAAAGAAAGCGATGAAGAACGTAATTACTGGTGGTAGGACCTCTTGTGAGTCCGCACGTGTAGGTACCACCACCCTGCCTATTTCTGCCGTGAAACAGTAATGCATTTCGATGCGAAGGGCGGGGCAGCCGTTGTACTGTTAAAATTGAGAACCTTACATCTTATATCTCAAGATGGGTCACGGCATCCGTGTTAATTTCGCAAGACACGAAGTCGTCTGCCAATTTACTACAATTAAGGGCAAAAAAAAAACTGCCTTCGATTTGAGTCGATTTTGTGAATAAAAGCGAATTATTTACTGCTAGTAGGTACGTGGTTCAATTTAAAGAATGCAATTAAGACCTAAGCACAGTCAAAACACTGATATTTGCTATCGTTTAAAATTTCTTAACACCGTAAATTTGGTAAAGTGTCATTAAAATCTTGTTTAATTAAGTTACTCACTTTGGCAATTGATTTTCGACATTAACTTATTACTTCGCTAATGCGGTTTCATATTTGATTTGGGTAGTCATGCGATATAATTGTCCAGGTTTGAGTAGCATCCTTCGACTTTTATGAGTCGTGTGAATTTTTAAAACTAATTTTACGATTTCAAATATAACAGTTTATAGATTGTGTGGTCACCACGGACTACTAAGGTGCTATACGTCTATTTTAAATATTGTGTTAATTGACATAGACAACTGACAACAAAAATGCAAAAAAAAACCGTATAATTTGTTTTAATTTTGTCCTCGTTATCTCATTCATATAAATAAGATAAATTTAAAAATCTGGATATGGCCTTAAATACAATGAAGCAATGCATACACTAATATGAAATATGAAGATCCTCCAGCATGAGATGTTACGTCTAAGAAGGTTTAAAATAATTTTGACTTGGCGATATGTTTTTGCGCTCGATATTGCTTTTTTTTCCGGAATAATGGGTGCCCGGAGGCCGTTTTAATTTTACCAGGACTGGTGGGCGAGCAAAGGCTCAGCCAGGAGAGAAGAGATTTGCTAATCGCTGATCGAGCATTTCCAAAGGTGACCTAACAACTCAAGAGCAGCTGCTTCGCGAATGAATCTACTACCGGATCGGAATCATGACCTGCTGACCAGGGTCCCTAAGCCTGCTCCTAGTGTTAGAGCCGAAGGCGTCTAATGGAAGAGTTAATGAATCTGATGGATCCATAAGGACGATTCAAGTGCGTCAACGGTGACTGGCTCCTCCGTGAGCAGAAATCGGGGAGTATACAGCAACAAGGCGATTATCATGACTCATAGGGGCTTGTTGAAGTACCGTTCTGACGCTGACTTCGAGTGTTTCCGGATCGAATCAAGGCCCAGGTCGTAGTTGTAAGTTGACGTTCCTCACGAACCACGGTGACATTGCAGAAGCGTGGATGGAATTGACTAGGCTCGACCAGTCAGATCGAACGCAAGTTCTTATGTCGCAATCAGCAAAATAAAACAGCGATTCTTCAAACTGCTTACATTATGATTTAGACCGTTTGATTATTTAGCATCGGACCGTCTGATGTGTATTGTGTATGTTGTTCTAACAGTTAATATGTAATAAAACAATGATTGTTCAAGTTGATCTACTCCCTCACAGCTTTTAACCTACTGCTCATGTTTTAACAATGAACTAGTGGTCTCACAGTAGTTGAAATTCGCCTATAATTAATTGAAGTTTTATGTTCAAATATTACATATTATGGTTCTACTGTCAAACACTATTATACTTCTATAATATAATCACAGATTTCGCCAAAACTACACTATAGAAAAATAGTATTCAAGACAAACAATATTAATCTATTCTCAATTTAACCACATACCTACTTTAAACAATAAGAAAAGTTTGACAATTGACAATAAACAAAGAGTATATTTATATGTATGTGTTGTGTTAAATACGTGGTAGTGTGTGTAATGTTTTTTTTTATTGATTTAATGTACATATTTTTATGCATAATTTAAAAAAAGTAGCATTCTGTACTCCTTTTCTATAGTTTCTCTATAAGTGTGGGAAATTTCATACTCCTCCGTCCGCGCAATTTTCGGAAAAAGGGATACAAAGTTTTTGCTTCACGTATTAATATATAGATATTACATTCACCGTGAGTCCTGCTATAGTGTGACATCTCAGTCGATTTACGTAATGCTCAATGTAACGAATGCGATTAAGATTATTCCCATTATTAGCTTCGTATTTAGCAAATAAATATCCATGTTCTACCTGGATGTTACGGTAAATGTATTCACGGTCGCAATGATAAGAAATTTAAGTGAACACGAAACAAGTTTATTGTTTGTCTTGTGTGTATTCGATACATGAATTTGAATGCTCAGAGCGATGTTAAGGTTTAAATTTCTATAAATTTTGAAAGCCTATACAAACCTTATCCGATATTGGTTTTTAAATTTGTATGTCATTAATACAGTCAGAGTATATAAGGCGGATAAGTTTTGCGTCAAATTAAACAACGTTGACTTCCGCAATCAATCTTTATGTTTACGAGAAATTCACACGTTTTTTTATTCTTTACGAATCAACAATTGTCATGAGTGACCCCGAAAATTGTAAAGTGTGCGAAAACTCCGAACTTGTAAAATTGCTTTTAATCATTTAATTTTTAATGATAAAATTGAAGAAAACTAAATGATGATTAGTCACGATAATACTTTGACGTGTCAAATTCATTAGGGACGTTAAACTCCAATCGATAATTGTATCTCGATTAAAATATTTGTCATATTCGTTCGATGTAGTTTCATGGCGCCGCTTAGATTTTCTCAGAGGATTGTTTTTTTTTTAATTTACGTTGACTGCAATATTAACATCAACCATAACAATCGACAAAGTAAGTTCCCAGCATGCGGCGATACGTCCGTACATACGTGCCACCGACTTCGAGAACGGATCTTATCAAACCTAATACATTCATATACATAAGACTGTAACTACACTTAGACGTTAGAACTTATATCTCAAGGTGGGTGGTGGCATTTACGTTGTAGATATAGACATCTACCGGTAACCGCTTAACACTAGGTGGCCTGTGAGCTCGTCCACATAAGCAATAAATAAAAAAACATTGAATAAAATCTCTTGAAGTGCCGACTTAAAATTCACAAAATAAATACTTACACCACTTCCTCAGGAAAGCGCTGGTGAGCTTTGCACAGAGTTTATCTCTTCCTTGCATTGTGAATAATTATAATAAAAAAAAATATAAAATATATATTCAAAAAAAAAAACTAGCACAACACTTTGAGCATTTCACGGACACCGCACTAAATCACAATTCTCTCTTTTTTCTGTCTCCTCTTCTTGTTCAATGACTCCGGTCGTCTGCGCGTTGCAAGCTATCGCGCACGACTGACCACTCTTCAGCCAATGATGCTCGAGCTGCAACAAAACGGGGATTTAAAAAAGTCACACACACCGGTTTTTATCACACACTACTTCGAGTTACACGAGCTATCGGCACGGCGGCGCTGGCTCGGCGGATTCCTTGGCGCGGTCGTTGGTTCAAATAGAAAAGCTTACGACCGAAACTGCGATACTTTAAAGACAAACATTTTTTTTTTATCGAAACTATCTACTGGTGGTAGGACCTCTTGTGAGTCCTCACGGGTAGGTACCACCACCGTGCCTATTTCTGCCGTGATGCAGTTACGTGTTTCGGTTGAAGGGCGGGGCAGCTGTTGTAACTATACTTGGCGCATTTACGTTGTAGATATCTATGGGCTACAGTAACCACTTAACACCAGGTGGGCTGTGAGTTCGTCCGCCCATCTAAGCAATAAAAAATAATAATATCGACATCTTGTAGCGGATGCCCGTAAACGTATACGTTGTTAAAGTTTAGACATTTAATTATTGTGTAACTAAACACAGAAAAAAAAATATTAATCATACACAAGTCTTTGTTAGACAAATATTATATTATAGACAAATTTTATCAATTAGTGGTTTCTGAAAATTTACAAAATCCTTCATTAAAAATAAAATATAGGATAGGTACTTAATTTGTTACTGCCATCTACAGGAGCAATGAGAAACTAAACACACAACACACATCGACAATATGACAAAACGGAGTTGCACAAGTGAACTGATGTCGTTTCTTCATCTAACATTTACGAAAGCTCGCTTAAAAGAAAGAAGTAATTTGACTTTGAGATTTTTTCTAAGTTGTTGAATGGTCAGAATATACAAATTTTCTAAATGGTCGTGGTTCCGATCCGGTAGTAGACTTTGCGAAGCACTGCTCTTGCTAGGACTAGTGTTTGAAAGCTCTCTGAGGTTGAGCCCGTGAGCTCACCTACCCGCGCGTAGCTGGAATAGCCCCTTAGTCTACTAACGCATACGTAGGGGAAAAATGTGGGGTTTCCCTTCTTCTTGCCCCTTAGACTACCGCGCGTAGGTTAGAAAAAAAGGTCAAGATCTTAAATTTCTATTAGGTGATAAAGTTAACAGACTAATATAACTGCTATACCCCTTGACTTTTAGGAAATGTACAAACCCTCACCTGAGACTTCTAACCTTAGAAACGTTTTTCCTAAAAGCTTACGTACCCTGAAAAACTTAAAACTTAAATTACATCTTAAGTAGCTCACTGTTTCGCGTCTTAAAGAACAAATAATACAACACAAACACACAAACAAAACAAAACAAATAACATTATATTACATCTGTTTAGATTGAAATGATTCTTAGATGTCATAGTCCAAGGTCTCTTGTTACCATAGGACACTTATCACGTTCAAACATGGAGATCTCCGAGCGTTGTACAAAGAAGTACTTTTGTTTTTTAAGATGGAAAAATTACTGGTAACGCGAAGGCCTTTACAGTTCCGTCGGGGCATGGAGTTTGTTTTGTCTATTGCTTAAATGGATGAACGAGATATTACCTGGTATTAAATGGTTATTAGAGACTGCGGTCACTACAAGGTAAACACCGACACTCTCATCAAGACATGGGTCTAGGAATCAATTGAATACTCCGGCTGTCTTCAAAATAGAACGAATCACGACATTACAGCAGAAATAGGCAGTGGTAACGACCCGTGCGGGCTCCCAAGACGTCTTACAATAAAAATGGAAGGAATTCTCTAAATTCTCACATGTCGATACGACCTTTTATTTTTATCGCGCCAGATGTGGGAACGACCTTCTTTTCCAATTCGATCTACCTTCAATAATGTTCTCTCAAATGAAATGTTGAAAGATGTACTGCTGATAGATGGCGAGATAAAGACAACAGTATGCTTGATACTTTTGAAGTCGTCGTGGCCTAAAGGATAAGACGTCCGGTGCATTCGTGTTGAGCGATGCACCGGTGTTCGAATCCCGCTGACGGGTACCAATTTCTCTAATGAAATACGTACTTAACAAATGTCCACGATTGACTTCCACGGTGACGGAATAACATCGTGTAATAAAAATCAAACCCGCAAAATTATGATTTGCGTAATTACTAGTGGTGGGACCTCTTGTAAGTCCGCGCGGGTAGGTACCACCACCCTGCCTATTTTTGCCGTGAAGCAGTAATGCGTTTCTGTTTGAAGGGTGGGGCAGCCGTTGTAACTATACTTGAGACCTTAGAACTTATATGTCAAGTTGGATGGCTTATTTACGTTGTGGATGTCTATGGGCTCCAGTAACCACTTAACACCAGGTGGGTTGTGAGCTCGTCCACCCATATAAGCAATAAAAATAAAACTTAAAAATAGGAGGTCTACCGGGTAGCCGGCATAAAACATGTTTGACTGATGCCTAAATCGTACCAATGACATTTTAAAGATAAGTTTGTGTTTATACACAAGTTTCGGATAATAACATTCGGTCCTTCGGTCTATCGAGCAATTTCACGTCGCTCACCGTTAGCACCCCGTATTTATAAAACATTTTTAAATCATTTAATCGGTCATTCGTGACCAGCTATTTAAATCCGTAAAAGTAGTTTTAATCGACGCCAATGTTTCAGAGCTTACTTTGTTTGTTTAAGGTCCTAAGTGTAAGGTTTATGATTATTTATATTAATATGATTATATAGAGTCCTGTATATATTAAGAATTATTATTAAATATGAGGCTTATATTGCAAACAATTAAAATATTGTTTATTAGTTGCTCAATTGACTGCTTTTAAAGTCACGTGACTAATTAATTTATATGTCTGACACCCAAAATAAGTTCCCCAATTACGGCAGAGCGCTTTAGTAGTATTTCTCGATTGCGATCTGTCTTGTACGCTTTAGTTGTAGATTAGTTCGGTTATTTAGATTTTAATGATTAGAATAAAATACTGAAACCAATGAAGAAGGACAACGTATAAAAACATTACTCAAGCAGGTACAATTAAATCGTTTTATTGCCGTTTTTCTGTAAACAACAAAAAAAAACACCTTGAACTATGGCATTCGTGAGTTTTTTTTTCTTCGCTAATCATAATTTCGTCAATGAACTGGTTTCTTGGCTCACCATTATTCAAGTTAGATACGAACGGGTCGACCTTATTGATCTTTAAGACCACATAATTATTGGAGAAGCTATTCAACCGTATCTTCTTTTAGAGTTCCTTAGAAAAATTATTAATCACTAGCTGTATGCGACCGCTTCGCTGGGCATTTAAAATTAACATTATTATTTCTCACCCCCACAAAGATTCTCATCAATAACGACCCCGCAACTGGTGTAGGGAGTCCAACACTCATATAAATATTAGCCTATCCATTAAGTACATGTATTTTCTATGGATAGCAAGTTTCGAGTCAATCGGATGCATGGTTCAGTAGTTATAACGGAACATCCGTAAAAATCACTGTAGATTTATATATTAGTATAGATTTTAAGTAGGAACGGAATGTATAGATGAATGACACATATGGAGCATGAGTAAGTGAGAGAGATAGGAGATGTCGTGTGAGAAGGTTAGAGAGTTGGCGAATAAATGTTTGACATACAGTTTTGAGGAAAAATGAGGGTAGTTACGGAAAGCAACGGTAAACAGACAAAACCTTCTTTTTTTACCTATGCATAGGCAGCCTCAAGAGCTATTCCAGCTACCTGTGGACGGGTAGGTGAGCTCACGGGCTCAACCTGAGAGAATTTGCTAACACTAGCCCTAGCAAGAATCTATCACCGGATCGTAATCGCGAGCCACTGAGAAGATCCGGTGAGAAACTCATTGGGCTATTGGAAAACCTGTATCATTTATTTACTTTGCTATAATTAAGAATCAAAATCAAGTTTGTATGAGCCAATCAACTGTTTTATTACCTCAAAATCGAATAGAGGATGCCACATTTATGTATATTGTATATCGCGATCGTTCACAAAATGAGAATTAAAGTAGTATCACAATTGAGGCACAATAATTTCGTCCAAGTTGAAATGTCGACAAAAATTGATCTAAAGAGTGTTCTATACGAAAGCGTTAATATAATAATTACAGAAGTAAATCATTTTAAAAAATCGACCTACCGTTGGAATCAGCTTCCTACTTGAAAGTTCACGGCTAGGCCTCTGATCTTTTGTATTGAAATTTAATTGGGGCTTTTAAGTTAATGTTATAGCTTACACCAAAGAGTGTAGGAATGCGTAGAAACGACATAGCTACATCGATAATCTGGCGTTAATAATATGTAACGATCTCCGTGAATAATTCCACAACAAAAAGCTCATGGTATCCTGGATGATTCTTTCATCATGCTACCAGTGATTAATAGAAACCTTTTTTTTGCTTATACGTGCGGACGAGCTCACAGCCTACCTGGTGTTCAGTTAACGGAGCCCATAGACATCTTGAGACATGAACTCTTTTACTGATGGTAGGACCTCTTGTGAGTCCGCGCAGGTACCACCACCCCACCGATTTCTGCCGTGAAGCAGTAATGCGTTTCGGTTTGTAGGGTGGGGCAGCCGTTGTAACTATACATGAGACCTTAGAACTTATATCTCAAGGTGGGTGGCGCATTTATGTTGTAGATGTCTATGGGCTCCAGTAACCACTTAACACCAGGTAAGCTGTGAGTTCGTCCACCCATATAAGCAATAAATAAATAAAATGAATTGTGAGACTCAGTTTTAAAATATGTACATATTAATAAAAATATACATTTTTTTTAAACCGCCAACATTCAATCATGCCAGTCGCACAAAACCTCACATGATAGGTACCAAGACAAACAAGTTTTTTCTTTTAACGTTAAATACTTAAAATTGAATAACATCAAAACGAAAACACGAGTTACCCTTTTTTTGTACAAAACACGTAAAAAATAATAAATTACATTATAAAAATTATAAAGTTTCATCGTTCGGTATTCGATTTGACCAAATTGAGCTTTAAGTTTTTATAAATCTGAATGCTGCGGGATTGTCGGACTTATGGATATTAAG